GGCGCACTGTAGCAGTGCGCCACCGGGCCGGCCCCTGAATGAGGTTTTTAAACTTCAATATAAGATTCTAGTTTTTAAAAACACAATTTAAAAAAAAGCTAAAAAAATGACAAGGGACATGTCTTATTTGCTGTACAGAGGCAAATAAGCACATGAAAATATGTTCAACATCATTAGCCTTGAGAGAAATACAAAGTAAGCCCACAAGTAGACATCACCACACACCTATAGGAATGTCTAAAATAAAACATAGTAACACCACTAAATGCTGCTGAGGATGCAGAGAAAATGAGTCACTCATATTGTTAGTGAAAATGTAGAATAGTACAGCCACTCTGGACTACAATTTGGCAGTATTTTATAAAATTAAGCATGAATTACTACACAATCCAGCAATTGCCCTCTTAGGAATTTATCCCAGAGAAATAAAAACCTATGTTCACACAAAAATCTGTCCAGAAGTGTTCATGGAAATGTTACTTGTACAACAATTCTCCCCATCTCTGTGGTTTTGCTTTCTGCAGTGTCAGTTACCTGAAGTTAACCATGGTCCAAAAATATAAATACAAATTCCAAATAAAAATAATTAATAAATCTTAAATTGTGCCCCATTCTGAATAGTGTGATAAAATCTCATACTGTCCCACTCCATCCCACCTGGGATGTGAATCATCCCTTTGTCCAACACATCCACATGGTTTATGCTACCCACCCACAGCCATCTCAGTTATCAGATCAACTGTCCTGGTATTGTAGTGCTTGTGTTCAAGTAATACTTATTTTACTTAATTATGGCCCTAAAGCACAAGAGTAGTAATACTGGCATATTATTATAATTGTTGTATTTTATTATCAGTTATTGTTAATGCCTTACTGTTTCTAGCTTATAAATTAAATTTTATCATAGGTACATAGCATTTGGTAATATCCAAGGTTTCAGGCATCCAAGGGGAGTCTTGGAATATATCTCCTATCAATAAGAAGAAACTACTGTAACAGACAAAAACTGGAAATAATCCAAATGTCCTTTAATGGCTGAGTTATTAATAAACTGTGGTGCATTCATACCATAAAATACTACTCGGCAGTAAAAAGGAATGGACTATTGATTCATAAAACAACTTGGATGGACTGCAAGGGAATTATGCTGGATAGAAAGAGCTGATCTGAGAAGGTTTATATCATAAGATTTTATCATTTTAACATCCTCGAAATGATAAGATTATAAAGATGAAGAATAGATTAGTGGTTGCCAAAAGTTAGAGATAGGAGAAGGAATAGCATGAGGTAGTTTTGTGGTAATGAAAGAGTTGTATCTGGACTATGGTGATGGATATGTGAATCTACACATGTGATAAGCATAACAAAACTGCATA